AAAAAAAAAAAAAAAAAAAAAAAAAAAAAAAGAATAAACGTAAACCGAGCACAGTGGCTCACACCTGTAATCCCAACACTTTGGGAGGCTGAGGCGGGAGGGTCACCTGAGGTTAGGAGCTTAAGACCAGTCTGGTCAACATGATGAAACCCTGTCTCTACTAAAAATATAAAAATTAGCTGGGCGTGGTGGCATGTGTCTGTGATCCCAGCTACTGAGGAGGCAGAGGAAGGAGAATCATGTGAACCCAGGAGGTGGAGGTTGCAGTGAGCTGAGTTTACGCCATTGCACTCCAGCCTGGGCAACAAGAGTGAAACTCCATCCCAGATAGATAGATAGATAGATAAATGTAAAACAATCTAAATTGGTCTTCTCTTACCAAAGGATCTTTCTTTCCTTTTGGCTTTACAACGGACTATAATATATTCTATATTATTCAAAGGTTGATAATCCACATCTCTGACTTGTTTCGCATCTTTCACCTGCCTTACCTCCTGCAAAAGCTTCTCTTGAGTCTAAGTGAAAACTCCCCTTGTTTTTCTAGAATATCCACTACATGCCTCTGTCACAAAACTTACTACTTTTTGCATTTATTTGATTCTATGTCTGCTTTCCCTTAAGTTCCTTAAAGACCCCCGAAAAGACTGAAGTTGTCTTATTCAACTTTATATTTCTAAAACCTAGTTTGGAGACTAGTACAAAGTACTTGATAAAAAGTCAAATTAACCATATGCTCAAAATTTCTGATTACCACAAATAATGGAGAAAGTGCTAAATTTATATCTACCAAAAGCAGTATCAATAATGTCAAAAAGACAAAAACCAATTTGTGTCTTCTGCCACCAATATTACAAGATTAATGGAGCAATCTAACAGACATCATAATCCTCTACAAGACACAGGAGGAGGGGAGAACTATGATGGCAGCTTCCCTCTTTTTTTCCTTTGTGCCTCTTTTTTCTCATCAATCCACCTCACCTGGGGTTGTTTTTATTTTAAAAAGCAAAATTTGATACTATGAGAATTAAAGAAAAAAAAAAAAAGTTACCCCAATAGAAGTCAACAAGGAAATGGCAAGACTCAAGAATATTAACATATCACAAAAGAAGAGAGATAAGTTATACACACCTGTCAGAGTATAGAGAAACTGTTCTTCTCCCTGCTCTACTTGGTTCTTTCTGTTGTCTAAAACCTTCTTGACTGTGTCCATTAGACCAAATGTGTGTGCTACATTGTTGAGAACAGCAGCATCTATGTAAAACAAAAGACATCCCTGTCCAGTTAAAACAGAAATGTTCCACCACTCCCATTGTGCTGTTTATAAATATGAAACAACCATAAAATTCTGAGACTCTCTTAACTGCATTTTAATACATTTGAACAAAGATGTATTATATGCATAATGAATTCTGGTTTAATTGTTCTATTTTTTGTAAGCTTTTCCATATAAATAAATACAAAGATCAGGCTGGGCATGGTGGTTCATGCCTATAATCCCAAGACTTTGGGAGGTCAAAACAGGAGGATCACTTGAAGCCAGGAGTTCAAAATCTGGGCAACCTAGTGAGACCCCTCTCTCTACTTACATGAATTTGAAAAATTTTTAAGGCCAGGAGCTATGGCTCACATTTGTAATCCCAGCACTTTGGGAGGCCGACGTAGGTGGATCACTTGAAGACGGGAGTTCAAGACAAGCCTGGCCAATATGCTGAAACCCCGTCTCTACTAAAAATACAAAAATTAGGCCAGGTACGGTGGCTCATACCTGTAATCCCTGCATTTTGTGAGGCCAAGGTGGGTGGGTCACCTGACCAACATGAAGTTCAAGACCAGCCTGACCAACATGAAGAAACCTGTCTCTACCAAAAATACAAAATTAGCCAGGTGTGGTGGCGCATGCCTGTAATTCCAGCTACTTGGGAGACTGAGGCAGGAGAATCGTTTGAACCCAGGAGGCAGAGGTTGCAGTGAGCCAAGAGCACACGATTGTACACCAGCCTGGGCAACAAAAGCAAAACTCTCTCTCATTAAAAAAAAAAAAAAATACAAAAAATACCAGCCTGGGAGACAGAGACAGACTCCACCTCAAAAATATATATACACATTTTAAATATTTTGCATCTACTTATAAGTTCTGACTTCTAGGTTTTAAAAACATGGTCCCTGTACTAGATAGAGCTAAGTTTCATCTCAGTTTTGTTTTTTCCTATCTGTGCAACTTTGGGCAAGGCATTTTACTCCTCACTTTTCTCATCTAAAATGAATGGGATTAGTAATACTTACTCTGCAAAGTAGATATGAAATTAGAAATATATTTTAAGTGTCAAACATGGGAATTGGCATGCAAGATCATTATTTTCTTTTTTTGAGACGGAGTCTCCCTCTGTTGCCCAGGCTGGAGTGCAGTGGTGTGATCTTGACTCACTACAACCTTCACCTCCCAGGTTCTACTGCCTCAGCCTCCCAAGTAGCTGGGATTACAGGTGCATGCCACTATGCCCAACTAATTTTTGTATTTTTAGTAGAGACAAGGTTTCACCATGTTGGCCAAACTGTCTTGAACTCCTGACCTTAGGTGATCCGCCTGCCTTGGCCTTCCAAAGTGCTAGGATTACAGGCATGAGCCACCGCACCCGGACCTATGTTTTTTTTTAGACGGAGTCTCCCTCTGTTGCCAGGCTGAAGTGCAGTGGTGCAATCTTCGTTCACTGCAACCTCTGCCTCCCAGGTTCAGGCGATTCCTCTGTCACAGCTTCCCAAGTAGCTGGGTTTACAGGCGCCCACCACCACACCTACCTAATTTTTTGTATTTTAGTAGAGATGGGGTTTCACCTTGTTGGCCAGGATGGTCTTGATCTCCTTAACTCATGATCCGCCTGCCTCAGCCTCCCAAAGTGCTGGGGTTAGAGGTATGAGTGACCATGCTCAGCCCCAAGATTATTATTAATAATTATCTCTGTTCATTTCTTTTTTTTTAAATTTTGGTTTTTTTTTTTTTTTTTTGAGACAGAGTTTCGCTCTTGTTACCCAGGCTGGAGTGCAATGGCGCGATCTCGGCTCACCGCAACCTCCGCCTCCCGGGTTCAGGCAATTCTCCTGCCCCAGCCTCCTGAGTCGCTGGGATTACAGGCACGCGCCACCATGCCCAGCTAATTTTTTGTATTTTTAGTAGAGGCGGGGTTTCACCATGTTGACCAGGATGGTCTCGATCTCTTGACCTCGTGATCCACCCGCCTCGGCCTCCCACAGTGCTGGGATTACAGGCTTGAGCCACCGCGCCCGGCCTTAATCTCTGTTCATTTCTATACAAAACTTCTGAAACTGTCAGCCAGGTGTGGTGGCTCACACCTGTAATCTCAGCACTTTAAGAGGCTGAGGCAGGCAGATCTCTTTAGCACAGGAGTTTGAGACCAGCTTGGGCAATATGGCAAAACCCTGTCTCTACAAAAACTACAAAAATTAGCCAGGTGTGACGGTATGTGCCTGGAGTCTCAGCTACTTGGGAGGCTGAGGCAGGAGAATCAATTGAGCCCAAGAGGTTGAGTCTACAGTGAGCTGTGATTGCAACACTACACTCTAGCCTGGATGAGAGAGCAAGACCCTGTCTCCAAAAAAAAAAAAAAAAAGTCAGTATTTGCATTCATTGCTTCCTTAACTTGGACAACTTCACTACATTCCCTTCCATGGTCACCTCACTTGATCCCATGGTTTTAAATAACATACATATGCTGAGTACTCCCACTCATACATCTCCTGTCCTGACCTCTTTCCTGTATTCCACATTCATACTTCTGCCTTGATGAGTGACATATCTATTCAATGGTCTCATCGGCATCTCAATTTAAGAGGTAAAACACTAATTTTGATTTCCTCTCTAAACCCATTCCTCCCCTAGTGACCTTCGTCTCAGTAAATGGCATCACCACCACGTGAGCTTGGGTCAAAAATGTGTGAGTCATCTGATATCTTTCTTGTTTTTTTTTTTTTTTTGAGACAGAGTCTTGCTCTGTCACCAGGTGCCAGGCTGGAGTGCAGTGGCACGATCTCAGCTCACTGCAACCTCCGCCTCCTGGGTTCAAGCAATTCTCCTGCCTCAGCCTCCCGGGTAGCTGGGATTACAGGCTCACACCACCATGCCTAGCTAATTTTTTTTGTATTTTTGGTAGAGACGGGGTTTCACCATGTTGGCCAGGATAGTCTCGATCTCTTGACCTCGTGATCTGCTTGCCTCGGCCTCCCAAAGTGCTGGGATTACAGGCTTGAGCCACTGCGCTCGGCCTCATCTGACATCTTTCTTTCTCTTTCACCCTGCATCCAATCTGTCAGCAAGACTTGGTGGTTCCACATTCAAAATATATTCTAAATCTAATCACTTCTTCCTAAGTCTACTGTCTCTACTAAAAAATACAAAATTAGCCAGGCATGGTAGCAGCTGCCTGTAATCCCAGCCACTCGGGAGGCTGAGACAGGAGAACTGCTTGAACCTGGGAGACAGAGGTTGCAGTGAGCTGAAATCGCATCATTGCACTCCAGCCTGGGCGACAAGAACGCAACTCTGTCTCAAAAAAAAAAAAATCTGGACCAGGCATGGTGGCTCATGCCTGTAATCTTAGCACTTTGGGGGGCAAAAGCAGGAGGATCACTTCAACCCCAAGAGTTCAAGACCAGCCTAGATAACATAGTGAGACCCTGTCATTACAAAAAAATTTTAAAAATCAGCCAGGCATGGTGGTGTACACGTCTAGTACCAGTTACTCAGGAGGTTGAGATAGAAGGATTGGTTGAGCCCAGGAGGTTGAAGCTGCAGTAAGCTGTGATCATGCCATTGTACTCCAGCCTTGGTGACAGAGACCCTGTCTCAAAATAAATAAATAAAAGAAAAATAAGAATCTGGTCACTTTACTCCCTGCTCAAAATCACTATGATGGCTTATCTAAACTGTCCCCTCTGTGTACCTTCAACCTTGTCATATATCACTGTTCCCAATTTTTTTTTTTTTTGACAAAGTCTTGCCCTGTCACCCAGGCTGGAATGCAATGGTGCAATCTCGGCTCACTGTAACCTCCGCCTTCCAGGTTCCAGCGATTCTCCTGCCTCAGCCACCAGAGTAGCTGGGATTACAGGTGCGCACCAACACCGCCCAGCTAATTTTTAATATCTTTATTAGAGACGGGGTTTCACCATGTTGGCCAAGTTGGTCTCCAACTCCTGACCTCATGATCCAACCGCCTCAGCTTCCCAAAGTGCTGGGATTATAAGGCGTGAGCCACCATGCCCGGCTGCATTGGTGTTTCTATAATTCTTTGGACCCACCTGGCTCACTGCCACTTCAAGATCTTTGTTCTCTCTTCCTGGAATGTTCTTTCTCCCAGCTTGTCACATAACTAGCTCTTTCAATTCAGGTCTCTGCTCAAATGTCACCTCCTTAGAGAGATCTTCTTTGACCACCACTAAAATAGCATTGCCTTTTTTTTGTGAGATGGAATCTTGCTGTCACACAGGCTGGAGTGCAGTGACACTATCTTGGCTCACTGCAAACTCTACCACCCAGATTCAAGCAGTTCTCCTGCCTTAGCCCTCCGAGTAGGTGGGACTGCAGGCGCATGCCACCATGCCTGGCTAATTTTTTTATTTTTTTCTAGTAGAGACGAGGTTTCACCACGTTAGCCAGGCTGGGCTTGAACTCCTGACCTTGTGACCTGCCCGCCTTGACCTCCCAAAGTGCTGGAATTACAGGCATGAACCACCACACCTGGCCACTTTCTATATTATTTGTGGTTTTTTGGTTTGTACTCCAAGCGTAAGTCATTTTAAATGTTTAAAAAGATTCTGCTGTCAGCTGGGCGTGGTGGCTCACATCTGTAATCCCAGCACTTTGGGAGGCCCAAGTGGGCAGATCACCTGAGGTTGGGAGTTTGACACCAGCCTGACCAACATGGAGAAACCCAGTCTCTACTAAAAATACAAAATTAGCTGGGCAAAATTAGGTGGCATGTGCCTGTAATCCCAGCTACCTGAAAGGCTGAGGCAGGAGAATCACTTAAACCCAGGAGGTTGAGGTTGCAGTGAGCCAAGATTGCACCATTGCACTCCACCCTAGGCAATAAGAGGGAATCTCTGTCTCAAGAAATAAATAAATATTTTGCAGTCAAGGTTGTTTAAGTGTATGGTATATAAGTTATGGGTTATAAAGAAGTAACAAGAAATGACTAACAAGAATTCACTAAACACACAAGGTCTCATCATAACCCCACTTCTTTTTTGTTGTTTTGTTTTTTGAGACGGAGTCTTACTCTGTCGCCCAGGCTAGAGTGCAATGGCATGTTGTCAGCTCACTGCAACCTCTGCCTCCTGGATTCAAGCAATTCTCCCACCTCAGCCTCCTGGGTAGCTGGGATTACGGGCACCCGACATCATGCCTGGTTACTTTTTGTATTTTTTAGACAGGGTTTCACCATGTTGGCCAGACTGGTCTTCAACTCCTGACCTCAGCTGATCCACCCTCCTCAGCCTCCCAAAGTGCTGGGATTACAGGTGTGAGCCACAGCTCACAGGGAGCTTATACCTGTAATTTCAGCACTTTCGAAGGCCGAGGCGGGTGGATCACCTGAGGTCAGGAGTTGAATCCTGACCAGTTCAAGACCAGTCTGGCCAACATGGTGAAACCCCATCTCTATTAAAAATACTTGTTTCCTATGATCCGTGAAATTTAAAAAAATAATAATACAAAAAACTGGCTGGGCGCGGTGGCTCAAGCCTGTAATCCCAGCACTGTGGGAGGCCGAGGCTGGTGAATCACGAGGTCAAGAGATCGAGACCACCCTGGTCAACATGGTGAAACCCCATCTCTATTAAAACTACAAAAAATTAGCTGGGCATGGTGGCGCGTGCCTGTAATCCCAGCAACTCAGGAGGCTAGGGCAGGAGAATTGCCTGAACCCGGGAGGTGGAGGTTGCGGTGAGCCGAGATCGTGCCATTGCACTCCAGCCTGGGCAACAAGAGCGAAACTCCGTCTCACAAAAAAAAAAAAAAAAAAAAAAAAAAAAAAAAACAAAAACTAGCCAGACATGGGGGCATGCACCTGTGATCCCAGCTACTTGGGTGGCTGAGGCAGTAGAATTGCTTGAACTCAGGAGATGGAGGTTGCAGTGAGCTGACATCACACCACTACAATCCAGCCTGGGCGACTGAGTGAAACTCTGTCTCACTAAAAAAAAGGAGAGAGAAAAAATATATATCAAGAGAAGGAGAGAGGGCTGGGTGTGGTGGCTCGCGCCTGTAATCCAAGCACTTTGGAGGCAAAGGTGGGCGGATCACCTGAGGTCGGGAGTTCAA